GATGTAAGACCTATTGCAGATTTTGAACCAATCTTCCTTGGAGAGATATTCTACATCTAGTCAAATAAGAATCTTCGATTCAGAGGTAAACTTTCTTTGAATAATCTCATTAGTTTTGTTTTGATTAGCATTTATTAAATTATATTGTTAGCATTTTCCTTAGACTTTTATTTAGAAATTATACAAATGTATGATTTCTAGAAAATTATCTTACGCCATTTTTGATTAAACTTGAGCCTTAGCCATTTTTTTTACAAAATTATATCCTTAGTCAGCCATCATTGAGCCTGAAAAAGTATAAATTCTTTTCATGAAAACCCAAAAAATAACCGAGCCATATAAAAATATATTAAACCTACCTTTGCTATCTAATTTTCTTACACCCTCTTTTAAATCAGCAGGATACAGAAAAATAAAAAAGAAGAAAAGGTAGAAAAGAGTAAAGAAAAAAATTATCAATGTTCAAAAGCAAAGGGAAATATGTGAAAAGAATTTCAAAGGAAAAAGAAAGAAAGAAAAGAGCCAAGAAAGTGAAAAATGGAGGAAAAATAAAAAGGATGATCATGCAAAGTCTAGAAAAAATAGAACGAGGTGTGCCGCAATGCTAAGAAATGATAGCTTTTGAATCCCATTGACGTCGTTTCTTAAACCCTAAACCATTGGCCACATTACAACATTAAAATGTCCTTTTTGATTCCAGAAATCATGCATTTGTATTAACCTTAACTATTCTAAAAAGGAAAATGTTAATGATATGTTTAAAATAGTGTTAATATTCTTTCATGAGATTATGTCAAATTCCAATTTTATTCAAATAACCACACTTTTGATTAACTACATGTGAAACTATTTGCTTTGTTAACAATATTCTAAACACATGCAGTTTTTGAGAAAACAGTCACTATAACATGTGTATTCTTTGCTAAGTGTATTCCAGGAGATGATTGACATCAAGACTACCACGAGAGATGATAATATTTCTTAAGTGATTTCTGAAAATAAAGAAATCATCACACACACACAAATTTTTATAAAAATATATAGATAATATAACAACTAACGTGTGTTACTCTTACAGTGATCAGAAAAGAAAGTATTCAAGCAATACAAACAAAATATTAATTTTATTTTATTTGTGAAAAGTATGAATTGTGAACTCCTAACTATTGAAGTTTGTAGGTAGTTTCACTGAAAACCTTCATGAGACAAAACTCGTCCACTAGGGATCACTTACAAGTTTAACAGCTTGTTGCATATGCTAAATGCAATCATGAAAAATTTACGAAGATAATTTTACTCTGTTGTATTTTATTTACTAGGGACTAGTAAAGTTTAAGTTAGGGAATGTGATTAGCCCTAATTAATATGTACATTAATATAGTTAAATACGATAATTATATAAGATAAATCAATTAAAAACTATAAATTAGGGTTTGTGCGTAAGCTAGGGTTTTATTTATGTACTGTCTGAAATTTTAGGATTTTTATGTGGAATTACCATAAATGAGAAGGAGCAATCTATCAAAGCTTGAAACAACAAAGGAAGCAAGTGTAATATAACCAAGAAACTACCAGAATAACAAGAGGATCGGCACCAGCAAAGAAAAACGGTCCGAACGGTAGTGGTGGCGTCCGGACGGTGACCCCAAGCGGTTTGAACTCATCCTCCATCTCATGCTTCATCTTTGCCTATATATATGGCATGCCTCCTTCACTTGAAACTGCTAGGCTAGGAGAGGAAACAAAGAAAGGGGAAAGAGAGAAAAAAAGGGAGAAAAAGAAAAGAGAAAGTCATAGAGAATTCAAGATCCGGTCTGTCCTACTCTCCAGCCAAAACTCTGCATTTCTACATTTCTGTTTTGTCTTTCTACTTGGAGAGTTGAACTGCCACCACCTTTGTGCCTTAATCGATATTAAGGGTGGTTGTATTTCAGTTGTTTCTTGCGAAAAAAGTGTCAGTGTCTGTATTTTATCTACTGTTGTAATGATACTTACCCACACTTCTTACTTGACTATAGTAATGGAGTGTGCCCTTTAGTGAGGGGTGAACATATATATAGTATTAGTTAACTTCTGAAAATGCTGATTTTTTATTATTCTATATGTATATATTATTGTGAACTTCATGCATGATACAGTGATGTACGTAATTGGGTGTTACTATGTAACCCGAAATTATGTCATCAGTGAATCATCAACCTGCCGATTAAATATCTACGGTGTTCCAACGGCATGACTAGTTCTCCAAGAACACTGAGGATGTTCTACTGTTGCATGATACAATTGTCAGATTAATAATCTAAGTAATCCTCATGAATGACTTATCCTTCTAGATTACTGAAGTTGTTTAACTGATACATATTATAATAATAGCCAATTAATTAATTCAAGTGATCCTCATGAATGACTTGTCATTTCTGGTTTACTTGGATTAGTCAGTTGTCATATAACCAGCTAACCTAAGAAGTTATTGTGTTATGGTTTAATAATACCACCAACTAACCTAAGAAGTTGTTGTGTTATGGTTTAATATGCATATACTTGTTATACTATTGTCAATTGAGTAATTCAAGCAATCCTCATGAATGACTTGACCTTCTGGGCTACTTGGATTAGTCATTTGACATGTATACCATCAACTAAGTTAAGAAGTTGTTGTGGTATAATTTATATACATCAGACCTACCAGTTGACTTTTCAGTGACATGGAAGTTAATTGTTGTAAGATAACATTTTCAGTATTTAACCAATATAAAACATATGAGATCATTAAACTGAAGGGTATTTTTTATATTATTGTCTTTTAATAATCTGTTTACACATTTCATTTACTTAGACTAGTTATCAATCTAAGCTCACATCGCAAGCTATCTCATGTTACACTGCTTTAATAATAACTTCACTGTTCTTATTTTAAAATTTTAATTATTAAAACTTTTAGTGGGATCGATCTTGGACTTAAACCGAGAAAACTGCAAGTCGATCACTTATACTTGGGTGTATAATATAAATCCGATCACAAGATAATTCGAATCAATTATGAGAGCTATGGAGAGAAAATGGTTGTTTTAATTCAAGAAGGTTAGAATTTCTTACGCACTATGCTGAATTTTGAAACCGGAAATTAGAACACTTTCAAGTCCCATCAGCCCAAACTTCTAAGCTCGTGAACCAATACCAAGACAAAAGAGAATTCCTCACAATTCTCGAGGCTTCACTGAAAATCCTAAGCTAAGAAGCTCTATTTGAGTCGAGTGTCCACATGACTCACCCATCCTTTATGTAATTACTTCTAAATTCCTTTTTATTTCTTTTATTCATATACATATAGCACTTAAATTTTCCATCCCTTAATAAATCTTACCCAAACTCATGTCTATCTTATAATTCAATCCCAGAAATTATTATTAAAATTCATACCTTACTCCCCACGATTCCATTAACTGTAATTTAACTTCCATAACTAATATTAACAAATTACACTTTACTTTCCAACATTATATTAAATGTCATGCAAATGCATGTTTGAGTCTCACATTAGGTCTCTAGATTATTATCTTATCCTAAGCAAGAAGGTGCATAAGGAGTACTTTTGATGTAGCTTTGACGCATAATTTCCTCCCTTCAAGTAATGTTTTCGGAACTTTATCGTTGTAGTATCATGACCATGAAATATGTTTAAATTATAAAAAATTTCATACAATTAGCTAATTACAAAATATGATCTAACAACAAGGAAAGAAAGTGTATCATTCGTTTGGTACAATAGAAAAAGGGGTGGAATGAAAAATAGGGTGGAAAGACAATCCACGCTGCCCCCCATTTTTATTCCACCTGAAACTGGAGAGAAAACAAGACGAAAAAGTGAGATCTGTTGGTTAAGTTGGCATAATTACATTTTTGCCCTTGTCTCTTGTTATCCAGTTATATGCGCTCATTGCACAATCTCTACCTAGATGATTCTCTTTTCCTTACAATTAAAAGGAGTAATTTTACTTGGATCTAATTTATTAACTAAATTTTTTGACTTAATCATTGGATTGACAGTGGACCTAGAGTTTTATTGGGACCCACAACTAATTTAATAGTTGTAATGAATTAAGCTAGCAAATTATCTATGCAAATTAGGTCCAAATAACCTTACTAAAATAAAAAGTAATTTCTTGGGCACAATGTTTAATAAGTATTCATAAAAAAAAAATAGAAGAATGTTTTTTAGGTAAAACATAAGAGGACATTCTAGTAAATTTGGCCTAAAATGTTTTCCATCCTCCCCCCTTGTTATCAAACAGGACAGTGGAAAATCTGTTCCTTTCATTTTTTCATCATTTGCACCAAACAAAATAAAGGAAAAACATGTTTTTTTCCCTCAAGGATAGAAAATTTATTTCTTCCACTTTTTTCCTTTCATCTTTCCATTTATCGTACCAAACGGACCATTAGCTTGGCCAATTATGATTTCAAAATATACAAATAAAATAGTAAATTTAGTATGTATACATTTTATTTTTCTTTTTAAAAAAAAAATTTATACTTCAAGTTTTGCACCCATCATATTAGACAAAGAGGAAGGAAAATTTATTTCTTTCCTAGAGAGGTGAAAAATAAATTCCTTGAAATTCTTTTTTAATTTTTAACTTATTTTTTTCATTCTCACCAAACAGACCATCCATAGCATGCAACTAATAAAAGGCAGGGAATAGTTGTCCGTCATAGTAATCGGTTATCTTAATACGCAAAACACAAAACAGAGAATAGCGTTGATCTGCATGACTTCCAAATAACATTTCCAGTCGTCAGAAAATGGAGCCTGCAAACTAACACGTGTTGGCAGCCCACTTTTGCATGAAGTCAAGGTGTTGATCACTTAGCACACTAAACGCCAAGCCAAACTCCGTCCCATCTCTTCTTCTCTTCTTCTTATCTCCTCCTTTTGGTTTTTTTTCTTTTGATCGAGTACCATAAGACCACTCTCTGTCTCTCTGTCTCTCTGTCTCTCTCCCTCCTTTTGTGTTTGTGTGTGTGTGTACGATGGATCTGTTTAACTCGCTGCTAAATTTGGTGGTGCCACCGGCAAGCCTGGTGATGCTGGCATTTGCATGGCCAGCCTTGTCGTTCCTGAACACATGTGAGTGCCTTTACAGTAGTTTCTTCAGTGAAAATATGGAAGATAAAGTGGTTATCATCACTGGAGCTTCTTCTGGTATAGGGGAGGTAAACCCTCAGTCTCAAATTCAGGACTAATAAATTTCCTTTTTCTGCATGTTCTTCAGTGAATTATTCCTGGGTGTTTGTAAATTCTTGTTTAGAGCTTCAACTATCAGTTTCTCTCACAATGTTCTTTTCAGGAAAATTAGAATTAATTATGTTTCTAAGAGGTTTACAATTATTTATTTTTCACTTGGATTTAGATAGTGAAAATATCCCCAGCCCAAAAGACCTTTGCTTCTAAACTAATCGATCATTGTTCTCATTCTGAAAGATGAAGACATATTCTTTCAAAATCAGTGGCGGAGCAAGCATTTTATTTTAGGTTGGGTACAAATATGAATAAAAAAATTTCACTGATTGATCTAAATTATTAAAGGTTTGGACATATTTTTAAACATGAACATAAGAAATATGTTAATAATCAAAACTAAAATACTAGAAGAAAATATCTACCATTATTTAGTCTTACTAAGACATGGAACACAAAACAGGATACAATATTCGTGTCCTAGCGCATTCAACTCAATTACCTATCCAAATAATACTTGATGTCATATCATATCCTGCAAATTATTTTTTTGTATGTAAAATTTTGTAGTAATTTTCTTCTTGATGTACATAATCAAAGAGCCCACCAATAAATCATCATATATTATATTAAAAACATATTTTTGATAATATACATAATCGAAAATAATCCTCAAATTTAACTGGCAACACTAATCCAAATGACCATTTAAATTCAACACATAACTCATGTTTTTTGACTTGTTAAATCCAAATCCAAATGCAAGGGTCAAAGGAAAGATTGAAAAATTAAAAGGGGCTTTAAGTGAAAATATCATGAGTATGTGAAGTAGGCAAGGCAAATGTAAGGAGGGGCATTTGACTTGATCCGAAATGTTTACACCCAAGTGCAGGCAGTCAAGCTGTAGTAATAATCCGATTAAGTCAAGAGTCGAATCTACAGGGAACTATGATTGGTGTTCTGAAGTGAGCAGTGACAGAGACCAAGTAACTGGAAACCTTGAGAGTTTGAAGTTATGAGATTTTTTTGAATAAAATAGAAGATTCTTTCCAACAGTTTTCTAGACAAAATATAAGACAAATTCAAATGTAAAACAATCACCCTTTAGCTTGAGGATTAGAACATGTAGTTGATCATCCGGTTTATTATACTTGTGTTTTATAACTCAATTAACTCCCGTATCAACAACAAGTTAATCGGAAGATCAAGATGGATTGTGAGAATTAAGCACATTATTCCGATGCCTTTCTAGAAGTTTACAAGAATTGTCTGTGCCGAGATTTAACCCGTCTACAAACAAGCAAGGGTTTTTACAAGGCATCCAACCATGACATTAATGTTTCATTCTTTAGATAAAGCTCAATAATGGTGAAGATTAAAATGTTGTCATGAAGATCTAGTCGGGGTACTTGCTTTGAACCAAAGGTTCTTTCCATACAAGAGTCATCTGTGACATAGAAAGAGCCCCTGGTTATACAAAGTACCTTAATTTTTCTAGATACAATCAATCATTCAATAAGCAAGTGGAATATAAAGCATTAAAGTATAAAAGAAATGTACAAATATAACTTCCAGATAATCAATACATGTTTATCACCTCTTACTAAAGAGTGAATGAAGAATTACTCACTCTTCATGGCTTGGGTCAAGCTAGAAAAGTGAGTGATACTCATCCTTCCAAGTAGAGATCTTTCAAGGTAAAGTAAAATAAGCGAAGAGCCGATCTTCACCAAAAAATAAGTGAATCACGTTCCACCCTTCACGGCTTTGGTAAAGCTCTAGAAAAGTGGAAGAGGTTTACTTCTCTAAGGAAGAAGGAAGCTCAAGCAATGGAAGTGAAAGACATGAACAATAGAAGTAAAAGAAAGCTAGTCACATTTGGAGGGTGGCTTCCTTAACCAAGAAATGGAGGGTTACTTCCTCAACCAACATATGAACTAACTCCCTTGATAGAAGCAAATATAATATACATCTAACTACATGAGTGGGAGTCCAAGCCTCCATCAAGTTCTTGACTAGTTCTTGGTGTAGTCTAAGCCTTACAAACCAAGTTCTAGTCTTCTACAAGAACATCCTCTCCCTCTCAAAGGCTCTCCCAAGGGGAGTATTTATAGGCAAGGAGGAGGGGGAGGCAAGGGAGTGTGAAGGTATAGTGTATGCCGCCCAAATCCAAGTGAAAAACCAACTACTCTGCAGCCTGCCAGTGGTAGACGTTCGAACGTGATTTGGTGTTCAAACGTTGTCTCTGTTTTAGGCGTTCAAACGTTGTTTGGCGTTCGAATGTTTCTACTGTTTTTGATTTGTGGGCGTTCGAACGTTAGATGGGGTCTGACCTCCTCACTCGAGTAACCTGTGGTCTTTTGTGGAATCCCATTTTCACACTCCATGCACATCTTGGCTCTTTTACACTCATTACTCTGGTCTTCAATCAAGTCAAATGGACATTCAAACGTGAGTTGGTATTCGAACATGGTGCTCAAGTGCTTCCGGGTCTTCCTTCTTGCCTGCAACATGCCATGTCTCAGCAGCCTGGTCTTGTATCGCCCCAAAATCCACCCTGGGAGGCATTACTATCTACAAACCATTCAACCATGAGAGCAACTAAAAATAACCATTAAGTAATAAACCGTTCATCCATTCGATAGGAAATAAATACTAAAGTCAATAAAACATTGAAACTTCTCCAACTTACAATTCAAAACTAAAAATATCTAGCAGCGCAATAATAAAAACTAGCTAAAACATTGTTTTATAAAAATCTCTCAAACTCTAAACCACAAATAGATCAACTCTATTCCTCTAAGATAGGATCCACATCATGAATCTCCAACGACTAGTAATCAATCTGCTCATCCACATTGACATCCTTTTTTATGCCAAAATCTGTAAGTGTGTTTTAGGGGGTGAGCAAAAGTCCGTAGGAAATCTCTTTCAAATCCCAACAAAGTTTAAAGCAATAAAAGATGGCAAGTCTCTTTTGAAAAAATAACATATATAGATTTTGAGAATAAAATTATGATAATTGTAATGATCTCAAGTGTATGGAATATAGTAAATTAATGATAGGAATAAACTTGCAAGAAATTAAAGCAATCAATAAATATCTCAGTAACATCATTCCATATTCTCATGTATGTTAGTTCGTCCCCATTGTGATGTATGTTGGTTGTTTCTCAGGAATCTACACAACAATTCTGCCTCGTTCACCTATCACAATCACACAATCTCAATCATTCCCCGCAGGGCCAAATCATAAACCACTTTAGGAAAGACGTATATCGTCTCCCACGGCATTGACAAATCCATCCTAGGAAAGGTATACCATCCCTCAGCCTCGAACTTACGTGAATAATAGTGGTTGCTCTCACAAACAACAATCCAATACCAGTGTTAGACAACCATCTCACCCCCACAGGGATAGACTAACCTCTAACACTCTACGGCAGCTCTCGAAGGCAATTCAAGTCCATCACAACAAACCATACAAGAGATAAAATCACAATATTCTCAACAACCACAATCTTAACCAATCACAATTTTCATTAACAATTCAAGTATCACAAGTGCACAATTCTCAATATACTATAGTACTAAAGGAATTAAAATATGTGAGAGATCATCTCAAGAAAACATTCACAATTTTGATATCAAAATTCTAGAGTTTAGCCAAAAATCATAATTTCTTGGAACAAGAATAAATATTAGATGAAAACATGATTTAATCAAGAATAGGAATTTAGAAATCAAGAATTCATATGAATTTCACAATGGAACATGTATTTTAGAAAAACTAGGGTTTTGAAAATTCAAGAACATGTATTCCTTGAACCCAAACATATATTTTGTTCAAGACTATGTTCCAATGATAAAGAAACCAATAACTCATATATATCTATCATATAATTATCAAGAAGATTAAAATCATACATAATTATACCCTAAGTTTCAATGAAAGAACTTGAGAAGAATTCCCTACCTCAATTCCGTAGTTTGTGTGTTAACCTAGTGTGCTTGATCCATTCCAATGTGAGAATCCCTTTGAGTCTTGTGTTTCTCCTTCTCTCTCACTCTCTAAGGTTGTCTAGGGTTGAAAACTAATAAAAAAAATAGCTAAAGAGACGCCCTTATGGTATTTTTAGGGTAAAAATAGAGAAAAACACTAAAATTGATCGAGGCCATTTTTAGGTTAGTGTACGAATGGTCCTTGGGCATCCAGACTGTTCAAACTCACTGTTTTTGATGAAAAATAATATTTTTGGGTAAGAAGTTCCGTTCGGACGGTGCTTAGAGCATCCAGACGGAGGTAACTTTCTGTCCCAACTTCGGAAGTAGTGTTTACCTATTTAGAAGTCGATTTAGGAAATTTTTGTGAAATACACTTTTGTAGTCCTTGAAGTCTAGTTTCTACTGTCCAAATTTCAGCTCAATCGGAGTTAGGATTAAAACGTTATGGCCAAAATTATTAAGGTAGTATCAAATTCCTTCTTACCCGAATTCTTTCTAAAATGCGTTTTAGCTCTAGAATACGTCTTAACTTCTAATACACCCTATATTACCTCTCCCAAGGTTTCTCGACCTTCCGGATTCAATGAAAATCTTCTTTTAACCAAAAAATATTTAAAAACTTACCTAACCTCCTTTCTCAAGCTTAAACAACTTTAAAACTTTAAACTTCACAATCAATTTATCTCCCAATTATTTATTCCTACCGTTACAATTTATATGGTTCATTCTTACGTTATTACATAAATAAGGATTACTAAATAATTACATCAGTATCTAAATATAAAAATGTGGGGGTTTATAGGTCTTCTCATATTTTAAGTGGACATTCGAACGTGAGTTGGCGTTCGAACGTTATTGCTTTGTTCCAACCTTCTCTAATTTTGTTATCTAGTGCACTGGTGTTACACTCAAGTATGATATTTGTTGTTCTTGAGCCTTTGTTCACTTTAGGACCTGAAATTTCATTACT